TGTGTATATTCACAACAATAGCAAAAAATGAAAAAATAAATTAAAAAAAGCAGATGACATGTATTGAGCACTTGCTTTATGGTAGGAACTGAGCTCAGCAGCTTAAATGTATTGTATCTCATTTAATTCTCTCACTATTCCTTTAAGATAATGGTATTCCATTTTTCATATGTGGAAACAGGCTTAAAGTGGTTATAAAGCTTTCCCAAGATCATAGACTTAGTAAGTGACAGAACCAAGACTTGAACCCAGATTTGTCTCATTCCAAAGGTAACTTCTAAGGTCTTAACAGTTGCTACCCTTAATATGTATGCCCTACATTGGGTTTTGAATTTAAAATGGTCAGGTGTGTGCTATGAGGATTGTTTACTTGTCGTGTTGGCAATCCCTTTCCACATGGTAGCTCTCTTTGAGCATGGGTAGATCATATATCTAAATGTTAGAGGAGAGCCTATTAATATTACACAAGTAAGCCTTTGTGCTGTTAAACTCCAATTCATCCTTTGGCACTCAGTCTAATGAAGGCATCTTCTCGCAGACTTTCCTGGCATCTGCCTTTATGTATTCAAAACACACTGTACCTGTCTCTGGCATGGCTAGATGATTATACATTGGCTTGTCTGCCTCTTGTATTTTTTTTAAACATATTTATTGAGATATAATGTAATGCCATAAGATTCACACATTTTAAGTTCTCTCATGTCCCTGTGCACTTAAACCCTGATCCCATCCCCAGCCATAGGCAACCGCTGATTCACTTTCTGTCCCTATAGATTTGCCTTTTCTGGACATTTCATACGAGTAGAATCATAATATGTGGTCTTTTGTGCCTGGCTTCTTTCATTTAGCATGTTTTTGAGGTTCGTCCACGTTGTAGCATCTATCAGTATTTCGTTCCTTTTATTGCTGTGTAGTATTACATTGTGGGGCTATGCCACATTTTGTTTATCTGTTCATCAGTTGCTAGGCATTGGAGTTATTTCCACTTTTTGGCTGTTATGCGTAATGCTATGAACATTTGTATGCAAGTCATTGTGTGGATACATGTTTTCATTTCTCTTAGGTGGATACTAGGAGGGGAATTACTGAGTCATACACTTCTCATCTTTGATTCCTTGAGGGCAGGAACTTCACCTTGTATCGCCTTAGTTGTCTTTGAATTGACTCATCTAGCATGCCTGCAACATAGTGGGTAGTGAAGACGATCAGGAGGTAATTGTGAAATACTCTTATGTTTTATGAGTATTTGCTTAGTTTTTGTTCACTGTCCTCTTTTCCCCCCATTTTGAAAGTATTTATTTTTATCCTGATTCTTTGCAATTTGCGTAAATAATCCTAGTGGTTTTGGATGGTCTAGAATCTTATTTCCAGCATAGTCCCACGTATATTCAAAGACAGTGCTTTGTAAGAAAGACCATGCCACATTAACAATAATAGAAAAGCTTGTGATTTATTTAAGTTTTATACACATTATTACTCTATTAAGTATTTCTGGTGAGGGTACATATAAGACAGTATAAATTGTCTCTTGCTTAAGAAGTGGGCGGGGTAGAGTAAGGAAAGTTTTTGGGTGTCTGATGTGGTCTGCATGAACTTTTGTTCTGAAATTCAGATGTCTGTACCCAAAGTAAAAATGTTGCGCTACCAAACTATTGTCTCATTTTAACTCCGAAACAGGAAGCCTGGGTTCGTTCACCAGAAAGAAAATGCTACAAAGTTACTAATGCTGTTGAGAACCACTTACCGCCAGCTGAAGAGATGAGCTGAAGATCTAAAAACAAATATCCAACTAGTGTAAATGCTTCTGAACTTTTAACCTCTTTTCTATACCCAAAATCTAGCTCTTTACCTGCCAAACTGAGAACAAATCTTGACTTGCATCTTAATTTTTAAACAACTCTCTGCCTCAGTTTGAATTAGCCTATCTGCTCCACGTCATCTGAGAAGTAAGTTTGATTTTTCTGTGGGCATTGGTGAGACAGGCTCCTTGTATAGTTGAGAAACCAGAGAGTCTCTGTCATCTGTTGGCAGCCACTGTTTGCACCATCAACATCCCTAGGGGACAGGACACGTTTTTAAGAGAAGGAAATATCATTGTTACTAAGTCAAAACTAATAAGGTAGCAAAAGGGATTCGATGAAATGAGATCACGTTTGTCAAAAGGCCTAACAAACACATAATGATCAATATGGGTTCATTTGATCTAGTTACCATTGCCGTCGAGTCGATTCTGACTCACAAGGACCCTGTAGTTAGGAGCTTCATATTAAAAATTTCTTAGCATTGGTTGAGAGTGTGAACTCTGGAGGCAGATGCACAAGGTTTGAAAAAAAAAAAAAAAAAAGCCCTATTTAACAGCTTCCAACCTCTGACCACAGACAAGTTACTCGATTTTTCAAGCCAGTTTCCTCCTATAAACACTATACTTTAAAAAGCAGTTTATAGAGTTGCTAAGATTAAATGAGATAACGTATCTAAAAAGTGGTGCCCCGTAACATCATCGTGAATGCTCAGTGAATGTAAAGCACTAGTGAATGTAAAAAAGTAAAGTGTTTTAATTTAAAAACAGAAAAACAAAACCAGTTCTGAGGCTCGAAGACCAGAGGCCTGCTGACACTGATAAATGGCCTCATTACAGAGGCTTTCCACTGATGAAAATCCACAGCTATGAATCGGTTGCTTAAGCTGAGCCAGTTTCCTTCTTTATAAAATTAGTATCTTCCGCAGCATTTGTTTTCATTTCATTCATTCACCGAGTGAGGATTTACTGATATATATATATATATACTGATATGTATATATTTACTGATATAGTCACATATTGTATGTGACAGTGTTTTACCAATATTGAGGTTTACACTTGAAGTGAATGGTAAAGCAATAATGTGTATACATACTGGTGTCACACCTGACATCTCTGCACTGTACCTCAAGATGCTGGCAAAGGAAGTTCATTATACACGTTTTTTTCCATCAGATACTTTAAGTGACCGAAGGTAGTGATGGTGTATTTCTTATTCATGTTGTATCTTCAGCATTTATCATATAGCAGGCATGTAGCAAATACCCGATTCATAAATGATGGGTAAGGCAAATTAATTTTTAATTTTTTTTTAAAGTGATGGAGGTCTCTTGTGGAGAAGAGTGTTTATAGGAGAGTTTGTTTGGTCACTGAGTTGGTAGATATGACCTGAAAATAATGTCTTTAGAAAATACTGAACAGATTGTATGGGGTAGCTAGTTTACCACTCTCCCCCCTCAGCCTTTACCTTTTATATTGTGCAGCACTGCTTTGACTTAAAATATTTATGCCGCTTTCCTTGGAGAGATTTTAAAATAAAGTAAGGACTTTGACTAGATAACGTTCCCATGTCATCTTTCATGATAAAGACTGCTGTCTTCGGAGCTGCCTCAGGAGTGAGTTCTTCCTTCCTGTATCACTCTTTGCAATAATTGGCACACAACCGTATCAGGCATGGATGGGATAGTCTTTGAGTCTCTAGCATCAGGGTTAAGCTAAATTTGAGTTTATGCCACATTAGTATGCAAACAGTCCCACGTGGGCATTGAAAATGTTCCTGAGGTAGTAACTCTACTTTCAGCAGAACAAGGAGAAAAAAGTAGGGAGATTGGAATTGCATGAGTTCTACAAAAGCATGTTGGAGTCATATAATGAAAAAGCAGATTGTTTTTTATTATGATGTTTCTCCATATTTGGCATCGCTATAAATGGCTAACTAACATTTACTGCCAATTCAGTACAAATGTGTGGTTTGGTAATACCAGAACAGCAAATTTAAATGAAAAATAAAAGTTAAACATTTCCACACAAGATTTTACAGTCTGACATTTCACTGCGTAGGTAAAAAGACATTTTTTTCCACTACAGATTATTATTCAGCATGAATAAAAAAACTACAACTTTTATTTTTAAACAGGAGTCACTGGTTTTAATTTTTACACATTTTAAAATTACTGTGATAAAAAATAATGAAAAAGCTTAATAATGCCATACACAGTATAATATAGATTTGTCCCCATTATATAGCATTTGTTTAATATACAAAATAGAATATTGACACACTTGAATCTATATGTAGTTAAGCAAGTTATTTGAGGAGGGTATTTTCATACAGCCTTTCATCAGAAAATAAAATCTTTCTTTCAGGCATTTTCTGGAAAGAAGCTAATTCTTTCCTGAAAACCTGGTCACTAGTCCTTGGTGGACCAGGCTGACTGAGAATAGTCTGGAAAATGATGAAAGTTTCATCCAAAGTGGTTTAAAGTGTCCTCTTCACAAAGCTTTTATTTCCCTTCCAACACTGAATCAGGCACATAAACACATTCATCTACAGCTACAGTCGTCTGGTGACCAACCCAGATGGAGCTCTCACCGAGGGCTGCCATGATGCATCAATTTGGACAGATCAGTGTATAATTAGATTGTTCATTCCATGGTGGTGTAGTTTTAGAGTATTTACAGGGGAATTAAAATGACAAGATTTAATGATAATAGGTTGTACAGATAGGTAAAATTGGAATTCCTCACCCCCCACCCCACCCATATTAAGTGAGGCTGGCTTTCCTTCATGCGCATGCCCAGAGCTCATCCTATGCTAATTATCAAGCTCTTCATAGATACGGATCATGTCAGTTTTCCTTTTAGGGTGGCCAAGTTTTTTTTTCCCCAGGACCAGGCAGGTACGCTTTCTGGGTTCCTCTCCGGTAGTTCTAGACAAGCAGGTATATACCTCAAAGCATTATTTCCTTAGCTCACTCAGTTCAGCTTGTATAGTGTATCCCACAGCAAGGCCTAAAAATACTGAGTCATTTTTCTTTTCCAGCAGTCATTAAAAATACTTTTCAGGATTTGTTGTGGGAGTCACCTAAGCGTGTCACCAACTCTCATGGAAGAAGTAACTACAAACTTAGTTTGGCGTGCCAAGATACCACATACACAGAAAATGAAGCTGCTTTCAAATAGTACCATATCTTTTTTCACTTGAATCCGTAATTCTACTCAAACTTAATTAAGATAACTTCTTTCCCACATATTCTGAATGGACACAGCCTCTTCTCCCATCTAATTAACAGCTTCCTATAGTTGTTTTATTTGATTTCCTATTAACAACAAAATGCACATCTGTTTTTGCTGAACTATATATATTTTTTAGAGCCAAGGCTGTTGGGACCAAAGATTACTGTACTATATGCTTTCTAGTTTTAACCATATAACATTCTATAGATGAATAATAGTTTACTTTCCAGAAGCTCTTTTTGAAATGTAACACTGTCAATGATAATGATATTCAAGTGGAATTTCATAGGCACCATACATTTTCACATCGAGCTGGGTTACAAACCATCTAAAAATACTTTGAGATCAATTTAAACCATTACAAAAGGAACATTCCCTTTTAGAGATCATTCAAAAAAAGCAAATGATTACATTTTTTATTAAATAATTTCTCCAAAACACTGAAAATAACGAAAAACATTAAAAAAAAAAGCATTCAAAAGGAAACATAAACATGTCCTCATTTTATTTGGAAATGAATTCTTACTGGCAGAGAGAAAGGAATTAGTGTATTATTGGCAACCTATGAGATTCTGCACTATTTACATATTGCTGGAACCTCTATGCACATTATTGCCAAACTTCTAAAGCCTCTGTTTTTATATTAAATTGTTGGAGAAGCTGTATGTGAAAAGCAACCCTGCTATTAGATGGTACCTGTAAGTATGTAAGCACCACCTGTCTGTCACATTTACACACTTGAGTGCAGGGAGTTAGTAAGTTAACCCTGCGCTGGCAGACTCACTGTTGGAATGAGAACGTGGTCAGAATGGGAGGCAGAGGAATTACTTCCTTTGTGATCTGATGGAGACGGAGCCTCAGCAACCTCACTGCACACAGGGCCAGTCTCCATCACCTCTTCCCCTAGAGCAAACCTGCTTGGTTTGTGAGACCATCGCTGCCTGTATGAATGCTCACGCACACTAGAAATCATATAGGTTATCCATCAACATTTCTTTGACCCCTACAAAAAATATATAACATGTCGTGATAAAACAATCTCTTCTAAAAATCATTCTTATTTTACACTATACAAGCTATTTTACAATCATTTTAATAAATTGCATGTAAAGCTGCAGTAGCCCTGCCCTTCTCAGATTAGTGAATACCAATATGATATATATCTGAAACTATAACTAAATATAAAAATATATTAGAAGTTTCATATTTTTAATATTAGATTTTCAGTTTCCTATTACACAAATAATTTGGCCACCTTGAGTAGAAATCAAATTTCTTGTGGCTTAGCAAATATGTTAGGCTTTGAGTTTACAGAAAGTTGGTAAGGTGCACACAGAAAGGGCTACTACAGCTTCTAATTTGTTTAAAATGATAATCCTCAACAGTGGGGAGGAGGAATTCACAAGACTGTGTTAAACTCTACAGCACATGTAGGGATGCGTAGTTTTACAAACAGGAAGTCTGACATACAGTTCTAAATCACAAAAATCAGTAGCTGAGCTTTCCTGTACCATCAGGAAAGAGAAACCAATTGGTGACAGATGGGAATGTGAAAATGGGTGTCTAGCCACTTTTGCCATATCAGAGATGTATTTTTGGGGTAAAGTTTAGTAGAAGGAACTCCACGGTCTGATTAAAAATCTCTCAGCTGTGTTAACAGCTGGTTATCTGGAACCTTGTCTTTAAAGACATTGTACAAACTACTACAAAAGGTCCTGAAAGATAGTTTACCAACTTTCTTGCCCTCTAACCATTTCAGAGATAGGGCATTAGGTACAAACAGGGCCTCCTGGTAGTTTTTTTTTTTTTAGTTAGAGTCTTTTGCAACCATCATCCACAGTTTACCAAGCAGGTCATTGGACTAGGTGCTCTATGCCAGTTAGGACGGTTAATTTGTACAACCTATATAATTATCCACTGAAGCAGATATATACAAAATATGAGCTTTTTTAACAAGAATACTGGAGATTTGAGTCAATTTTTGTGGTCTTCTGACAGCTAAGTGCCATCAGGTTAGAAGCACCAACCCATTTTCACACAGAAAATTAATGTTTAGAGTTTATTTAGGAAAGCTATGAACTATGTGCCCATCTTAAACAGCTATGCAACAGAAAACTTGAATACAAAAACTATGTAAGAAAAAATGAGCAAGCGTACTTCACTGAATATAAAGGAAATTGTTAAAACCAGACAGTAATAGCTATAAAAGGCACAACTTCCCTTTTCTGATACACACTTGTAAACTTTTTTCAGGTTTCCATGCATAAATCAAAAATTGCTACCTTAACCATACGGGGGAAAATACATCAACGAAAAGTCTAGAAATTTTTATCCAGCCAACTGTGAAAACTATGAGCAGAAAGTTCATCACACAGACTTGGGGCACCGGTGGTTCAGGTACTATCCTTCTCTGACAGTGGGGATGACTCCACATTACTCTGTCTAATTTCCAGGATACACCAACTAATGAATTCCACTTTCTACTTTTCCCACCACTGAAAAGTGATTATCTCAACTGCTTCTGTTGCCAAGTCTTGGCCCTCTATAAACCACATGTAGTGCGTATTTAAAACAAAACAACACAACAACAAAGACAAAACGAAAAAGGAAAGAAAAAAAAAAAAACCTGCTACAGGACAAATTGAGAGTTTTACAATAACAGCTAGAAATTCAACTTTCTTTAAGGCAACCTTTCTTATTAAGGCAGTCACTTTTGATGAAAGAGAAGTTTTTTGATTTTTCCATTTGAATATTTTGGTATCTGATTGCTGATTATTTCAGTCAACATCTCTGGGAATTCAATACTCATGGTCTTATCCAAAAATGTTTGGAAGCAATAGTTAAGGAGATTTTCAACCACCTGCAAGAGAAAATATAGTAATGATTAGTATTAAAAACTGATCAGTAGGGAGATTTCATGATTGTTGACCTCTAATTACTATTATTATTTTTATATCTGACATAGAATATACCCACCTCTACTGGAATTCCCCCAAGCAAAAAGGAAACAGTTAAATAGTATGAGCACGCAAGTACAAAAGACATTTTTATCTTTTTAAGTTGTATGTGGAATTAAGTGTTTCATGATGAACTGCAGCATCATAATATATATGGAGATATTATTCTAATTTAAGCAGTTAATCATACAAAAACAAGGAATTTTACAGCTTTTTAAAAAATAGTGCTGTTAAATTCTCTAATAATATAATGTTATATGCATACAACTACATGAAATGATATTTTGTAATTGTTCTTAGGAAGAATGTGTGCCAAACTGAAGTTCATAAATTGAACTAAAACCACCACCAAAATCCACAAACTGGGGGCAGCCCTATTGGTATATATTACATACACTAACCAGAATGTACTTTATGTTCCAGAAAGTCCTTCCTACATTTGGCTTTATGTTTGACACTTACCTCATGCATGGAGTCCAAGAGCTTTGTCAGCTGATAAAATCGCTGCCAGTTCTGACTAGAGTTTCCTTCCCGTTTGACAATGGCCTTTCCCAGCTCTTTGATGTAGGTCATTCTAATTTCATCAAACAGCTCTTGGCTCTTCAAGCCTTCTTTAGGAACTAAAAGGTTAAGATGGAGTCAATTAAAGAAATTTATTGCTATAACTTTACATATACAATCAACCCTCAGCATCTGAGGGGAACTGGTTCCAGGACCACGTGCGGATACCAAAATCCAAGGATGCTCAAGTCCCTGATATAAAATGGCGCAGCATTTGCATATAACCAACATATACCCTCCCGTATACTTTAAATCATCTCTAGATTACTTATAATACCTAATACAATATAAATACTATATAGTTGTTTCCTTACAAATGAAGACTTGCTCTGGAAGGTAGCCTCTTCTGAGGTATTTTTTTTAGTTTGTTTATTTTTAAATTGTGTTTTAGGTAAAAGTTTACGGCACAAATTAGTTTCTTATTCAAAAATTTATATACCAATTGTTTTGTGACATTGGTTGCAATCATGCAATGTGTCAGTACTCTCCCCATTTCCCTTCACACCATGGGTTCTCTGTGTCCGTTAGTCCATTTCTGGTCCCTTCCTGCCTTCTCGTCTTTCCTTTTGGGCAAGTGTTGCTCATTTGGTCTCCTATATTTGATAGAACTAAGAAGCACGTTCATCATGTGTGTTATTGTTTGTTTTATAGGCTTGTCTAATCTTTGGCTGAAGGGTGGACTTTGGGAGTGGCTTCAGTTCTGAGTTAGCAGGGTGTCCGGGGCAATAGTCTCAGGGGTTTCTCCAGTTCCTGCCAGTCTGTTCTTTTTTTTGTGAATTTGAATTTTGTTCTATATTTTTTTCCCACTCTGTCTGGGACCTTCTGTTGTGATCCCTGCCAGAGCTGTCGATGGTGGTAGTTGGGCACCATCTAGATCTGGGCTCAGGCTGGTGGAGGCTGTAGTTCACGTGGTCCATTAGCCCTTTTGACCAAGATTTTCCTTATGTCTTTGGTTTTCTTCATTCTCCTTTGTTCCAAACACGATGGGACCAACAGATGTATTTCAGGGGGCTGCTTGTAAGCTTTTAAGACACAAGACACTACTCACTAAAGTAGGATGTAGAACGTTTTCTTTATGAACTATGTTATGCTGATTGACCTAGATGTTCCCTGAGACCATGGCCCCTGGCCCTGAGGCCCAGTAACTCGGTGCCTCAAGGTATCTGGATGTGTCTAGGATGCTTCTGTGACTTTGCCTTGGTCAAGTTGTGCCGACTTCCCCTATATTGTGTGTTGTCTTTCCTGTTACCAAAATTAACACTTGTCTGCTATCTAGTTAGTGATTTCCCCTTCCCACTCCTCCTCTCCCTTGTAACCATCGAAGATTGTTTTTATCTGTGTGTAAACTTTTTCTTGAGTTTGTATAATAGTGGTCTCAATATTTGTCTTCTGTTACTTTCTTGAGCTATTCTGGGGATGTTGATGCAGCCTGGGCATCAGGTGATGCTGATTCTCCCATGATCTTGACGTTCTTGAGGCCATATCACTTTACATAGCTAGCCAGCCATCCCTTACTGGCCTTAAACTGCTTCCTGTTGCTCACCTCAACCCTCTCACACTTAGCCTTTGAGGGACTGCTCTGACCACTTCATTGCTTTTTAGGAGCCTTTTTTCCTTCACAAAAACAGAGGGTGCACACAACCTAAGTAGTGAACGAATGAGATGCGAGGTGAACAATGCTCAAACGAGTGCTGGAGAGAGACTGAGGATCTGTGAAATGGTGAGAGGCAACAGCAGGGTATGCCTACACGTCACTTCACTTGTGTGGATTCAGCGTAGTGCCTGACGCACGGCAGATTCAAGTTTTGCTTTTTGGAAATTTCATTTTTTGGAATATTTTTGATCCCCAGTTGTTTGAATCCGCAGCTGTGGAACTCGTGGATACAGGGAGCTCAATGTATGCATCTAGAGCACTAAACAGCACACTTCAAAACTTACATCGACTATCATTTTAAAATGCTGGCATGATTTCAAAGAATCATGAAACCACACAGAGAGAATATGGGATAAAAGAGAACTGGAGGACTTGTTGTTAGGTGCCGTCCAGTTGGTTCTGACTTATAGCAACCCTGTGTACAACAGAACGAAACACTGCCCAGTCCTGCACCATCTCCCAATTGTTGCTATGTTTGAGCCCACTGTTGCAGCCACTGTGTCAATCCATCTCATCCAGTGTGTTCCTCTTTTTCACTGATCCTCCTCTCTACCAAGCAGATGTCCTTCTCCAGGGACTGGTCCCTCCTGATAACATGTCCAAAGTATGTGAGATGAAGTCTTGCTATCCTCTTTTTTAAGGAGCTTTACCTCTTCCAAGGCAGATTTGTTCATTCTTCTGGCAGTCCACAGTATATTCAAGATTCTTCGCCAATACTGCAATTCAAATGCATCAATTCTTCAGTCTTCCTTATTCACTGTCCAGCTTTCACATGAATATGAGGCAATTGAAAATACCATGGCTTGGGTCAGATGCACCTTAGTCCTCGAGGCAGACTTAACCTTGGGTAAATCACTTAATCTCTCATCTATAAAATGGAGCTTGTGAGGAGACCTTCCTCTCTAGATCACACAGTTATTTTGAAGACCAAATGAAATAATACAGTGAATATTCAGTTAACCTTGGCTGTCATGCTGCACTTGAGTTTAATTCTGGTGCTGAGACAACAGGCTCCAACAACAGTGTTTATTCCACCAGTTACATCTTGGAATATCTATGATATCATCAGTCAATTAGAACCTTAAAATCAGCATCCAATAAATTTTATTAATTAATGTGTTAACATACTGAGTTGATATGATTCCATCTCAAAACAAATCAACTGGATTTTTTATGTAAACTTCTGGGGAGCAAATGTCTGCCTCCTTTATGTACTTAGAAATACAGAAAATAGCTCATGAATTCTAGACTGCAGAATTGGTTTTAAAAATCAGTATTTTTGTATATTACTCCTCAAAAACTGATACCAGTTAAAAAGACAGTGAACGGGGGGTCCGAATTAATTAATCATTGTTCCACTTAATCCTGCAGGAATTATGACTTTCATAGAGTGCTCCTAAGAAACACAAATTTTGTGTTAATAATGGTTAGGCTAAAGAAGAAATTGGTGGTTGAAATTTAAGAAAAGCTAAATGCTTAATACAAATGAAACTAGGCAGGTTTCTTAATTTGAGGAGTTTTCAGAGCCATTATTACACACCATGACTCTCCAGGCAGGGGAATACAGTATGCATTCTTTCCTAAACTTCACTGCTGCTGACATTTTGGAAAATGCTGATGTAGGGGAAAAGCAGTGAAGTCTTAATTTACTTCTTACTTGCCAAGTGGACTTCAGTATAACCTCCCTGAACCTCTGTTTCCTTTTTAAAATTGGAATAATTATCCTCTGCTCTGTCTTTCTCATGGATTGTGATTAGGATTAGACCAAAGAATACATATGAAAATGTTCTGATCCTATAAAGCAGTATTTGGCACTTCTAAGAGGTCGACATTAAAGTGAAAACAAAGGCTACTTAAGAATGTAAGAGGCCACCATGTTAAAAATGGGGGTAATCTCACACATTACTGTATTATAGATAATCTAATTATTGTTGATTTTATAAATGAGACTGCTTATTTATGATTTTTTTCTTGCTGGCCAGTCCTAATTCTGAAAGCAATTATGGATGAAGTCTTATTTAATAGCTACATTTAAAAGAATTTCATCCATCCCAAACTTCTGGGTAAATGATATATTTTTTCCAATTTTTTAGTGTGAAAATCACTGGCATTACATTCACTTCTGGCCTTACGGAGTAAATACAGTTTGGAAGTCCCTTCTTGCTAGAAACAAATAGAAAACTGAATAAAATGTAGGAAAATCAGACAACTAATTTCAGATACTCAGCAACAACCTGTGCACGACTGTGATACCTGGGAAAAGAGAAACAAATTAGGTGAGCCATACCTGATTTAGGAGCAACGAGTTTTAATTCGAGGCTTTTTACCAGAAAATAACTGTCACACTGCAGTGCAGGGAGGCGGAACCTACAGTCCAGCAATTTTGCTGGATTGAGGACAGACTGAAGTTTGGGGAGGCCAAAGCAGCTAGAATTTGTGGGTCAGAGAACTAGTGAAGGAGCTACACAAAGAAAGGCTTCCGGAAATCTGCACAGGGATCCCCTTGAATCTTTGGCTGAATACAAATCTGTGTATGCTTAAGGTGAAGTCCCATGAGGTGAAACAAGACCAACCTCTGAGAACAGAAAAATTACTGGGGAGTTCTAAGAAAAATAATTCACAGAGCCTGCACAGAGCTGGAAATTATTTTCATTCCTTGTAGCCAGAATGGAAAGATCTCATTAAATACACAGGGCGTTCAGCAGACAACCAAGAAGGGCCACACCTTAGAAGTAAGGCTAAAGTAGCCTTAGAACAAAGGCTCCTCTAGATCAGGTTCTCAATAGTGGTGGTGGTGGGGTGCTTCCCAGGGGACATTTCCTGCAGTGCTGTCATTATGTTTTTTATTAAAGAAGACATAATCCTAACTTGCACTGAATAACAGGGCTTCAAAATATGTGTAGTTAAAACTGATGAAACTAAAAGAAGAAATAGGTAAATCCACAATTACAGTTGGAGATCTGAACACCTCCTTCTCAGCAATTGCTAGAACAATTAGAGAATCAGTAAGAATATAGCAGACGAACAACACTAACAAACAATTTAACTTAACTGACATTTATAAAACACTCCACTCAAAATACTTTTTTTCAAGTGTACATGGAATATTTACCAAGATAGATCATAATTTGGGACATAAAAAAATCTGGATAAATTTCAGAGGAAGCAGCAGTCAAGAAATCAAACAAGGGATTGCACTGGGCAAATCTGCTGCAAAAGACCTCTTTAAAGTGTTAAAAAGCAAAGATGTCACTTTGAGGACTAAGGTCCACCTGACCCAAGCCATGGTATTTTCAACTGCCTCATATGCATGTGAAGACTGGACAGTGAATAAGAAAGACTGAAGAAGTAATCAATGCCTTTGAATTACGGTGTTGGTGAAGAATACTGAATATACTATGGGCT